GAGGGAAGATGCCAAGGGACAGTACTTCAATGTGGGGAAAAAAGAAAGTAACTGATGGACTTCAATCTCTGGAGGGACTAAAGGGGAGGGGATTAAGAACTCAGGAGGAAGAGAAGGCTCTGGGACAGAAAAAGGACAGAGATGAGGGAATAGGAAGGTGAAAAAAGAAGAGATTTGAGGTGTGAGAAGGAAATTGGAGAAGTTGTCATTGGATGAGTTTCATCTCAGCAGGGGTGCTGGTGGCATTTACTGAGGGTGGAGGTGTGTTGCAGGTTTGTGCAAAGAGGAGGAAGTTTGGAGCCACTTCTGGAAGGGACTTGGGAGGGGCCAACAAGGAAGGAATGAAAGAGGCACCAAGCAGCAGGGAGTGCCCAGCAGAGGTTAGAGGTGGGAAGGTGTAGTAGATGCATCACCACATTTGAGGGCTTTCTCCAGACATGCTCACTTGTCCAGGAATGGAGGTAGAGGAAGCAGACATGTGGTGGCGGTAGTCCTGGATTGGAGGTTTTCAAAGTGGGGGAAAGCATCTTGGGGTGCCTGACAGTGTCCAAGCAGGCCAGGGCAAGACACTCTCTGTATATATTTATGTTGTGGAGCGGATCTCTCAGGGTAGCTCTGCTTTTGGAGACCAAAGAGTGAGAGGTGGGGAGGCCTGCAAGTTGTAGTTTGCAGTAAGATGTGAGCCCGCCCCAGGCCCCACAGCCTGTCACTGGGACCTTAGGGTTGTTTTGCCCCAGGAATCTCCATCAACCCTGAAACACCTGTAATGTTAAGGGGGCTGAAGGAAATTCTTATAGATTGATTGGTTTGGGGTGAAAGAAATCTGCAATGCTAGCTTTCAGGGCATGTCTTAAGGGCCTTCAAAATATTTTTACACAGTTTTTGTACTGATAGTGTGATGATCTGGTTTGTATTCAGCCTTCAGAGAAGGAAGTAGCATGGGACACAGCTAGAATTTACCAACTTTATTTTAACTGCCACAGAAGCTGCTATGTAGTAATGATTGCAAACCACGCGCCCTATTTCTCTTCTGCAGTATCCTCCCTGCTGCTCTTGTGCATGGTTCCCCTATTTATGAGGGATTACATTGGAGGGTACCAGTCTTGGGAGCTCAGTAAATTTTACCAGCATCCAGAAAGGCAGAAAAAGACTGCCACACTGAAAGATGTTAAAAAATTATAATTATCCAGGTTTCATGACAAAGTGGATTCAGTTCCAAATTGACTGCCCCCAAGAGTTGTTTTGCTTGAGTAAGAACAGTCAAACTGGGAGAGTTGTTCTGACATCACAGTAATGCAACCAGGTTGGAAACTAGTTATCTTGGGAGGATTTTAGAAAGGCAGACTAGGCAGCTGAATAGCCACAAGGAAGCTGGAATTCTGAGTTCTAATTCTGGACTTTCTTTATGACTGATGTCTTAGTAACCAGGAGCTTCTTGAGGCATACGTTTATTCATCTTGTAGCCCCAGGGCCTGGCACAAGGCCCTGCCTATATTATATCCTTCATGGATTTAATAGAGAAGGAATTGCCATTGGAATAGAAATTAGCTGGCCGCATGATATTATAAAATATTTGCATTTGATAGCATCTCCTCCCGGTTCTGCCTTATTAAGGAAATGAACTACGGTGGCAGTTGGAATAGTGTTAAATAAGAACCTGTGTTCTGGAAGCAGACTGCTGGAGTCCCTGCTCCATTGCTGACTTGTCAAACAGGCTCATTGAGCTATGATGTTCTCATCTATAAAGTGGGGATAATATACCTGAACCTTCTCTTAGGTTATTGAGAGAGCAAAATGAGATCATATAGGCAAAGCCTCTGGCATATAGCAAAGTCACAATAACACAAGGGAATTGAGAGTCTTTTAGCTGTTATTATTACCTTTTTCGCTAGTCCTCACAAAGATTGAATATTCATCACCCTCTTACAGCCTGAGATTTTCTGACATATACTAAACGTGTGGGTATCAATGCTCATAGAGAAGCTCTGAGTATCCATTAATTTACAGAACCTAGCACAGTACCCAGGCCATAGTACATCCCCAACACAGACTTACTGAAAGGAGCAATGTTGAAAGAAGTTTGCTCTCAACTTCTGGTAATTACAAAACATACAGATTAGTTCTTACTAAGCAAGTGATTTAAAGATTCTCACATGTGCAATACAATTTTTGGATACTTAGATTTTTTCTTTTTGAGACAGAGTCTCACTCTGTTGCCCAGGCTAGAGTGAGTGTCGTGGCGTCACCCTAGCTCACAGCAACCTCAAACTCCTGGGCTCAAGCAATCCTGCTGCCTCAGCCTCCCGAGTAGCTGGGACTACAGGCATGCGCCACCATGCCCGGCTAATTTTTTTCTATATGTATTAGTTGGCCAATTAATTTCTTTCTATTTATGGTAGAGACGGGGTCTTGCTCTTGCTCAGGCTGGTTTTGAACTCCTGACCTCGAGCAATCCGCCCTCTTCGGCCTCCCAGAGTGCTAGGATTACAGGCGTGAGCCACCACACCCGGCCTTGGATACTTAGATTTTGCACATGCAATAATTCACTGAAATTGACGAAAGTATCTGGAGATTGATAGTTCTCAAATTGTACCACGTAAGAGTTTTCTGGTTAACTCAAAATTCCCAGAGTCAGAATCAGTAGCTCTAGGCAGGGCACGCCACTAATGCATTTGCATTTTAAACCAGTCCCTCAGATGCTTCTGATACCACTCTATAGGGCAGACTAAAGGCTTCCTTTGAGAAACGCTAGGGGTTGCCTAAAAATGTGATGGGTACTTGTCTAAGTGCAAGAATCTCCTTGTTCTTTTACTTTTAGGTTTCCTTCTTTTTTATACCATGGGTGAAAGAATAATGGGATTGAAATGATCTTCAATCAGAGATTGGGCTGGGAGATTCTGGGCCCAGGCAATTTTTGGTATTGTACAAGCATGGACACACTTAAAGGGTTTGCCACAGAGATCTAGAGTTATTTGGACACTCGCTTGTCTGGAAAACATCCAGAATGGCTATTCTTTTGGATTGTTAAATTGGGAGCCTATCTGTTTCTCAGGCCGACATTTCAGGAGGACTGTATTTTCTCCTTCAGGATTAAAGAAAGAAATATTCTGTAACACCATCATAAATAATTCAAAACCCCAGAAAGCTTAATGTGAACCATAAGAATGTGACCTGTAGTCACACTCCAAGTCCAAGAAGAATGTGTCTAGATCAGCGTTAAAAGTATATTACTAGGAGGTAAATGGCACGGCCAGCAGTCTGCAGGGGAGATGCCCCGTGTATGGATGGATCTGTGATAGATTTTTCTAAGGATTGGAACTCCTCCAGAGTCTGGGCTCTGTACACCTAACCTCTGGTTGAGGTCATCGGTCTGTTCCATCATGACACCCTGCCGCATGGTATCACTCTCCCCTCCTCACTAATCTGTTGTTGTAAATGTTGTCTTGAAAGGGTCTTAAGATTCAATTATTAATCAGAACCAATTTAACAGGCTGTTGGTGCCAGGAATAAAATTTTTTCAATTTGCAAAGCTGGGATAAGCTGATCAAGGAGAATGGTACAATTTCACAGGAAATACATTAGGCTTCCCACGCCTGCCTAAAGAGCTTACCGAGGTTCGCAAAAGTGCAGAGAAAGGTGCATTTGGGTGGATACGTTAATAGTCGATGGAGAGTAATTATCAGGAATCCATAAACCATAGTCTCACTTTAAATAATGTTTTCTTGGCCTGAGAAGAAGGGCCAAGTTGCTATACTCTTTTTAAAATCTCATTTAAAATGTAGCCCCACACATTTTACTTAGACAAATGGTGCTAAGGAAATAATATTCTACACTTAATTGTGCCTTATTACCATTTTTCATATGAAAGCTATGAGAAGCTACAAGCTTATTAACTGTCTTGTGAGGCGCCAGACTTTAGACAGGAGTGTGGGTAAATGACCTAAATCATGTGTGATATGCTGGAAGCATGGACAATCTGTGCTGAGGATAAGAAGCTATTAATATGTTTTTTTTTTTTTTTTTTGAGACAGAGTCTCGCTTTGTTGCCCAAGCTAGAGTGAGTGCCGTGGCATCAGCCTGGCTCACAGCAACCTCAAACTCCTGGGCTCCAGCAATCCTACTGCCTCAGCCTCCTGAGTAGCTGGGACTACAGGCATGTGCCACCATGCCCAGCTAATTTATTCTATATATATTAGTTGGCCAATTAATTTCTTTCTATTTATAGTAGAGACGGGGTCTCGCTCTTGCTCAGGCTGGTTTTGAATTCCTGACCTCGAGCAATCCGCCCGCCTCGGCCTCCCAAAGTGCTAAGAGTACAGGCGTGAGCCACCACGCCCGGCCTGAGAAGCTATTAATATGTTTTTGAAGAGCATCTCTTAATGAACTGATCTCATACTGCCCTGTGCATACAGGGAGGTTACCCTAAACATGTGCTGGGTGCCATAAAGCCTAGAGAGTGGCACCCCCAAATATGCCTCTTTGGCATAAAGATAATTTTCAGCTGATTATTTTGAGAAACTGCAGACACAGAAGTTCTGAAAACAGGGTAGAAGTTTTGTACGGGAAATATACATCTATAAAGGAAATCTCATTTGGGAGGGTGTCTCTCTCCCTGTACCAGGTAGAGAAGGGTGACTCTAAATCACTAGAGACTTATCAACAGAGAAGACACTGACTAAAATCTACATAACAAACCTTACCCTTGGTTACCTGCTTTTTTCTGGTCACCTCCCCATAGCTGGTCCTCCCAATACCCTTCCTTCTTTGTTTCAGCTACAGACGGTATATAAGCTTGAATACCCTTCTCTCTCCCTCTGTGCGAAGGGAGATCTACCTTTTAATTACACTTTAGTTAATTAAGGTGACATTCCCTGCCTGGCAGGATGCATGTGCCCGCAGCAGTCAATACCACCAAGCTCCTTGAGGAGGTGTAGGGGAGTGCTTTGTTGTGGCTCAGGGACAGCTCACGGGACTGTTTCCTTGCTTCCTTCCTTCCTCAGGCACCTGCAGTTTTCAATTTTGTCGCTAGAGGTCTCAGCAGGACAACGGTTATCCAAGGAAGTGGCCAAGATGGACCTGGAAGAATCCTGAAACTGGTCCCTCCTCCAAACTAGCTGACTGTCATTCAGAGGGCTCTCCAGCAAAGGGAGAGGTAAGGTGACCGCCGCCTGCCTGCCCAGCGTCGTCAGCGGGACAGCGGACTGGTCTTGTGTGGCTGCCCAAGGATGCCACTGTCCTCTTCAAACAGTGCTGCAGTTGTCCTGGGAGAAGGCATGGTAACACCAGGGCAATCAGGGTTGTCAAGAAGGGGCCTGTAGTCCCCTCCCATAATTTCCAACAGCCATTCCCTCCAAATGACACGGGTGACCGGCATTTTTCAATCTTATGTGACGTGCCATGCAATTGCAGCTTCAAGAGTTCCTTGCACAACCCATTTAGCCAGATTTGCTGCCTCTAAGCCCCTTTTCTTTTTTCTTTCTTTCTTTTTTTGAGACAGAGTCTCACTCTGTTGCCTTGGGCTAGAGTGCCGCGGCATCAGCCTAGCTCACAGCAACCTCAAACTCCTGGGCTCAAGCGATCCTCCTACCTCAGCCTCCTGGGTAGCTGGGACTACAGGCATGCACCACCATGCTCGGCTAATATATATATTGTCCAGCTAATTTCTTTCTATTTTTTTTAGTAAAGACGGGGTCTCACTCTTGCTCAGGCTGGTCTTGAACTTCTAAGCTCAAACGATCCTCCTGCCTCGGCCTCCCAGAGTGCTAGGATTACTGGCATGAGCCACCGTGCCTGGCCCTAAGCCCCTTTTCTGCCAAAATTCTGGAGCTGAAATTCTATCTACCCCAGTGATACCTTCTGAGGCCACAGCTCTCTGCAGTACTAAATTTTGTCCAGTAGCATTAGAACCTAAGCAGTATGCAAGGAATTATCCACCTCTGTGGTTTCCCCATTCTGCCATATCCTGTCCTATTCCTCCATCCAACTTTGAATCAGTATCCATCCAGAGAAGCCTGCTGCAGACTGGATGGGCTATTTTGGACAAAGTTGCATTTTAAGCCAAATTTGATATATAAAAACCCACAGGGGCCTAAATGTTAAACAAAGTGATGAATTTTGCTCTCTAAAATAAGATTCATCATAAAAAGTGTCACGCATTTACCATGGAAAAAGAAAGCTCTGTTAAAATGACATTGCATATTTGGTTAATATCTGTATTTCCATAATTTTATGTAAATGAAAGGTGTGTCTCAAAACTAGGTTGAAAGCTGGCATGTGTGGGTTTCTATTCTTGCCTTATTGGCTTTCAAATTATTCTCTGACTGCCTCAGAGATTTCTCTGGCCTTGTTAACTTGGTCAGCAATACAACGAAAAGGACAAAATGTAACCTTGTTTGCCTACTGGGTCTCCTTAAGTTCCAGAGCTCTAATCAGTGGTAGCTTGGGAAGGAGAAGCAGATACCAGCTGGGTAATCTCAAAGTGCAGAAATCAGAATATTTGCAATGACCACACCTGGAGTTTGCCATGTCTACTTGAATTTGATAGGTCCCTATGCAGGGGGTGGGCTACGCGCTTCTCATCTGCACCTTCTCCTTCCTGCCCTTGTTTTCTTCAATCTCTACTGAGACTCAGGCTCTTGCCCCTGGAGGCTGTTCCCGTTTGCACAGCATGACTAAGACTCTTTCCATAATCTACAGTGGAAAATGAGCGCTGCTGGGAGGAAATTGCATGAAAAACAGCCCCAGGTCGGTGAGCAAACTCAAGCATCATGTACTTTTTGAAATTGGTTGTTTTCAAATTCATTTTACAGATGAGGAGCCCAAGGTCCAGAGAGGCACAGTAACCTTCTCAAGCTCACCCAGATGTTTAGTGCCAGAGCCAGGACTGGGACCTGGGGTCCTTTCTTGGGAGGTAGGCTCCTTCACTGCCCTTCGCTTCTACACAGCCCTCCTGGTGGTGTGTGCAGGGCTCTGCCCCAGAGAGCAATGAGCTGGGAAGCCACCCCGATAAGGTGCTGTGATGGAAAGAGGGGGATTGAGTTCTAATCCAGGCTCTGCCCCGTCTCAAGCAAGTGACTTTCTCTCGAGGCCTCAGCCTCCTCCTCTGAATAATGGATCTGGAGGGAAGGTTCCGTCTTTAAGGACTCTGTCCCTCTAGAATTCTGTGTCTAAACGATGGGTTGGGGCCTCAACACTGCAGGGGATTGGGCAGCGTCCGGTCCCATCTCATGAGAGCCCCCTTCAGTTTTATTTTTTTATTTTTTTGAGATAGAGTCTTGCTTTGTTGCCCAGGCTAGAGTGAGTGCCGTGGCGTCAGCCTAGCTCACAGCAATCTCAAACTCCTGGGCTAAAGCAATCCTCCTGCCTCAGCCTCCCAAGTATCTGGGACTACAGGCATGCGCCACATGCCGCTAATTTTTTTTCTATATATATTATTGGCCAATTAATTTTTTCTATTTATAGTAGAGACAGGGGTCTCGCTCTTGCTCAGGCTGGTTTTGAATCCTGACCTTGAGCAATCCACCCGCCTCGGCCTCCCAGAGTGCTAGGATTACAGGCGTGAGCCACCGCAGCCCGGCCTCCCCTTCAGTTTTAAATTCTTGTCATCTCTGATGACTAATTTGGAGACTTTCCTCCTAACTCCCATTCAATACACACTCAAAATGTCAATGAAATGGAGAACAGGAGGCAGTTCCGACTCTGAAATCACAGAGAAGGCAGTACAGTAAGGCAGGATCGTATTTTGTGTTCCGGGTCAAATGCCTCCTTCCCAACTTACTTATTCTGTAAACCTAGCTTATCACATAGTGAAGTCACTCAAATTAGAAATATAGTTTAAGGAGCATTGAGGAACACCAAAAGGGATTGTGTGCGTGCGTGCATATAGTACAATGAAGGGCCACTAGAGTTCATATGTGGCTTAAAACTCATTACTCTTTCTCCTTCACAGTCACGGTTTTGTTCCACATAGGTGTGTGGCCATCATATACATATGAACAGAGAGAAAAATAATACATGAGAAGTTGACCTCTTCTCTGCATGGCTCATTCTAGCCCTGGTGCTCAGCACGGTGGCATTTGCTTACACACAGCATCTGGTCCTGGGAGACTCCCGGAGCAACAATCCCTTTAAGGGTGCCCCCCCACCCCACAATACTGCATAGCAGGGACCACGGCCTGCACGGAGATGCCCACGCACGTGGTCCCCCACGTTGTAGTAGTATATTGCAGCGACAGTGTGGACACATGCCTAGAACCCTAAAAGCTGACAATGTGAGGGCTGTTTGTCAGAGAACAGTAACCGAACGCATCCCCCTGGCGCCCCGGCTCCTTCTAGGGAAGGGGCCAGGCTGGCAGCTGCAAGTGCTCTGGCTCTTACCCCCGTGCCGGGACTGCGGGGGAGAGAAGCACAAATACAAAATCAGGAACAAAGACTTAAGATCTACTGCTCAAAAGCGGCGGTTCATGCGGCCCAAGCGCCAAGCGCCGAAAGCGGGAATCGCAGGAGAACAGCGGAGAACACATGCGGGAACAGAAGGCGGAAGCGCACAAAACACAGCTGAACCCACAACGAGCCATGCTCACACTTACATGGTGTGGTCTCACACTACCTTAGTTTGCCTTAAGCATTTCCATCATCTGAGAGTGTGGGAGGAAAAAACAGAATGGTTAAAGGTAAAATAAGTTAAGAGCTCACGCTTTGTTTTTAAAGATTAAAAATAGCAGTGTCATTACTGGTCACTCCATAATGGTCACTCCATTCCTAGTGTGCAGAGACACGCTTGCGATTCTCCCTCATGCTTGTGAGGGAGAACACGGTCCTGAGAGCCCTGCTGGCTGGGTGCACACCTTGGTACTGCTCCTTGGTAACTGCATGACCCTGGGCAAGTGTCTTAGTTTTCTGTGCCTCAGTTTCCTCTTCAATAAAATGGGTCTAATAGTAGCACTTACCTCATAAGGTTGTGGTGAGAATGGAATGAATGAGTACATGTGAGACACTCAGAACAGCCCTATTCAATACTAAGCATTATCCAAGAGTTAAGACATCACTGTTGTTTTTGTTAGTTTTATTTTTAGCTTCCTCAGGTAATGCCACCGAGACTAGAGGAATAAAAATTCACAGGAAGCCAAAGACCCAGAGAGAATTTTAGATACTCAATAGGAAAAACAATTCAGGAAAAAAAGACAAAGTTAAACATTCATGGATTGAGCAATAGTTCTATGTATCATTGTAATTTTTTGAGGACATCATTTGAAATTCTGGATTATCCTAAAGCAATTCAGAGTTGCTTTTAAAAAAACAATAAGTAAAAGTCAGTTGTGCACGCAGAGATCGGTTAGAACTCTAAAGCCTGGTTCATGTTGGGCAGTATGAGGTCACGTACACGTCCTCAGGGATTGCCTCTGGACGGACGTCATCTTGCACCTTCTCAATTGCTTTTTTCTAGCACCTCATAGAGAACTGCCCATGCACAGACAGGGCTTGGGGTGAGTACATATGCTTTATCAAGTCATTTAGGAAGACAGACTTCTCTCCTCCACTCTTTCCCAGATAGCTTATTAGCTCTAACCTCACTTGGCAGGATATTGTGGTCAAACAGGAAAGAATGGGACACTTAGTGGTGGTGACACCTTAGCCTAACAGGAATGTGTAAGCAAAATGCCCCAAGGATGACTTGGCTGTGAGTCTGCCTTTGCTGACCACACTCTGAGTCCTCAGTGGGTCCCTGCCAGGGCCTAGTTAGTTCTTTGCTTTCCGTCAAAGTGAATCCACTCTTTCCACCTGCCAGTATGCATCTGTACACAAACAGACGGGTCTTATTTAAAAACATGGAGCATCCCATGAAATCAACTTAATGGGTTGTTTCCATCTCCTCCTTCTGTCCCACGGACACCCAATTCCTTCCCCTCTAACACCTCTTGCCTGGTTTTACAGCCTCTCTTTCCTGCTTCCTATTTCTCTCTCTTGGTTGTAACCCAGGTCGCTTCCTACTCATCACTGGCCCAAGAAAGTTTTCAGAGTAGAAGATTAAGGGCTGTCCTCTAAGTTTCCTCCTGTCCCTTCTCACCTTTTCAAAGGCATGAACAATCGTGTTGGTTTTTGTTCAGGATGTGAGCATTTGGTTGAAGCGACTTGGTTATTTAAAGGTGGGTGCCGGAAATATCATTTGAAATGAGAAATGAAAAGCAACAGTGGAAGTTTTCAGCTGGTAGAATATGGAAGGGCAGAACGTTGTGGAACACATCAGAGTCCGTTCGGTGGCCTAGGCTAACGCACCTTTGCTAGAAAGGGTGAGTCACACACAGACTGCCTTCAGGGATGGTGGCGATGGTGCTCAGCTTCCATCGGGGGCACTCTTCCACCAAGCAGGGCACGTGTGAGGGTGTGTGTGTGTGTGTGTGTGTGTGCCTGTGGACCACACTGTTGTGCTGTTTAACCTGCTTGGGTTTTAACCTGGATCGTTTTTTATATGTAAATGTATCCCACCCAGAGTTTAATTCCCCAGGTGAGTAGCTGCCAGTTGGGCTGCAGGCTCCTAGAGTCTGGGCCTGGGTTTTTCCTTCTTGGGTAGCGGCTCACCATGTCAAGTACAGCACGCCCAGCACTGCAGAGGGAGTTAGGGCTGCCAGTGATCGAAGCTTCATTTGTCTGGCAGGGAAGTTGGCTTTTTAAAGACATAGTCTTAGATCTTTCCAATCACAAGTACTGTTTCAAGGACACAGATTATAGTGCTTGGGCTCTGGAACACAGAGAGACACCTTGATCTGTTCAACACCTCTTTGAAGGGATGCTATTATGTCATCAGAATGTTGCTCAGGCAGAAGTGCAAAGAGGAGAAAGAAGCATAAGATACTTAGGGAAACAAAGAGATTTTTGACCAGAAAAAGTAGGTCTAATGAATTGACGCTTGCAGAAATGGAGACATTTGAACAGAATGTCATTAAGCAGTTAGCCAGTTGTAACTAGGATAGGCAGTATGAGATGATTTCATAAGGAATCATTTCAAATAAGTCATTGTCTTGCTTTGGAATTATTATCTTGCTTTATCATCTTGCATTTGGTTCCACATCAAATGAAGAAGGTTATTTTATTATTTTTTGAGACAAGGTCTCACTCAGGCTAGAGTACAGTGGCATCATCATAGCTCACTGCAGCCTTAAACTCCTGGGTGCAAGCTATTCTCCTGCCCCAGCCTCCTGAGTAGCTGGGACTACAGACACATGCCACCATGCTTGGCTGATTTTTAAAAATTTTTTGTAGAGATGGGGTCTCACTCTTGCTCAGAGTAGTCTCAAACTCCTGGCCTCAAACAATCCTCTTGCCTCAGCCTTCCAAAGTGCTAGGATTACAAGTGTGAGCGACTATGCCTGGCTGGTATTTTGACAGAAGAGACAGAGGCAGTTATGCTTTTTCTGTTGATGTGCCACAACCAATGCCACATCTCCTGAAGTGTCAACGGGCTCAGCAGGCCTGCAGGACCACCTCTGGAGGGCTGGAGCCCTTGATGCAGTGACGACAGCTGTGGCATCATCACCCTGCACAGTGTGAGTTTTAGTGAAGAGTTCAGTGGTAGTCACTTCTAAATTCTGCTCTGGGTCCCAGGGCCCGATCCTCTCCCAAAGCAGGCCAGATATATTCCCAGGTGTAAGCTGCCAGGCTGGGTGTCTGGGGGCAACCCATATAGGAAAAAGGCCCCGGCTCTATAAAACATTCTACTACTAGAGGAGCAGCTGATGCCCGCATAACCTTGAGAGTATTTTGGTGTTCTAAAACTAACTCGTCATAAGGACACATTTTTTTTTTTAAAGGATTCTGTGCGTGTATGTATGTGTTTGGGAGGAAGTTGATCAGGACAGATATGTTGGTTATTGGTAGCTAGAAACAATCAAGGAGTGGATTTTAATGCTCTAGAAAACTGCATTCTAGGAGAGATAAAATATTCATGGTGGGGGGAGGGAGGGAGCACAGGGGGAGAGAGCAGGAGGGAGGGAGAGGATGAGTTTGACAAAGGGCAGCACAGGGAGTGGCTCCCACTGGCTGTGTGCCATGATGGATGAAGCCTCGCCTGCCTTCTTTTCTCTCTCCTCTTGCTTTCTCCGGCGTCAGAGATGGAGAAACTATTTGCCCTGAAATCTAATGATACAATGTGTGTGGGAGGATGAGGACCACATCAATTAAGGGTAATTCTTTTGAGGGAATATAAAATATCCTACTCATTTTCTTTTTTGAATTAATGATGGGGAACATAAAACTCAAATTAATTGGCATGAAAATTATTTTAAAGATCCTTCCATTTTTATATTATAGCTAGTAAAAAGATGCAACTGAGAGGAGAGAAGTAGAAAGGCAGCCAATAGGCAGGGAGATTCAGAGAAGAGGCAGAGAAGAGATAAAAATGAAAAAATCTGCGCACAGAAAGACACATGTGAGAAAGGAGACATGTGGTGGCTTAGGGACAGTGATCACAGGTAACCAAAGACACACAAACACATACACAGCGCATAATGCCTCGTGATATATATTGACTTTCATGAATTAATATCATTGTTTGGCCTCATTCCGTTTTCCACAATTTCTTTTAAAACACTGTTTATATTCATAAGAGTAGGCACATGGCCGGGCGCAGTGGCTCACACCTGTAATCCTAGCACTCTGGGAGGCCAACACAGGAGGATTGCTCGAGGTCAGGAGTTCAAGATCCACCTGAGCCAAGAGTGAGCCCATCTCTACTAAAAAAAGATAGAAAGAAATTAGCTGGACAACTAAAAATATATAGAAAAATTAGCCAGGCATGATGGCGCATGCCTGTAGTCCCAGCTACTTGGCAGGCTGAGGCAGGAGGATCACTTGAGCCCAGGAGTCTGAGGTTGCTGTGAGCTAGGCTGACGCCATGGCACTCTAGCCCAGGCAACAGAATGAGACTCTGTCTCAAAAAAAAAAAAGAAATAGGCACCAATGAGGATGTGATATCTCCATCCATGCCTCTAGGACAGGGAAAATCAGTTGAGTTGAAGATAGACTTTATATAGAATGTGGACTACAGGCCATTGAGGAAGGTTCTATCTTTGCTACATAGTCAGGTCTCAAGACAAACCTTTCTGGGTCCCTCTGACCCCTGAAAATGATCTCTTGGACCTGAGGTGTCATATTCCAATTAATACTGAGGCAATGGGATATATTTTTTGTGCATCTTTCCATAAGTGGGGGGGGATTTCTTAGAGACAAGGCATAGCATTACTGCTAACAAGAGGCAGCCCAGGCCTGCTGGCTCCATGCACACGTGTGTGCAGCGTGTTTCCCTCTTAGCTATGAGCACAGACAGGCCTTCTGCTATCCTGCTCATGTTGGGAACTTTGACTTTTCGGAGGTCTCAAAATATAGGAATCACTCTCATCATGGTGAATCAACTAACAGGCTGAGATTTCATTTTCAAACATAAAAAGAGACAGCCTTTATGTTTCCATTTGACTTACTCAAACTGGAATGAACCGCTGTCTCGTTTATTTAGAACATTAGAAAAAACCACCAAAATGTCCCTCTGAGTACCTCTTTTATATCTGGGTGATTTGCACCAAGCCCTGGGAGTTTGGGTTCTATAGTTTCATTTCCCACTTCCTAGGTTGTAGCAGATAATAGG